TTTTTCCGTTCACTCCACTTGTTCATTTTTTCCTAAATCCTTTTTATCGTAAAAAAAACAAAAAACGATAAGATTAGCTTTTACTTTGTGGTTATCGCTATGCTGTCAGGTTCTAGTTTCCAATGAATAGACTAAGTGATATATGATAGGTATAAATAAACTGATATACTAGATTGAGACAAAAGTGTTTTCATATTTCAAATTTTAATTAATACTTCAAACAAATTACAAAATGAAAAGCGTTTATATATCCCATCATGTTCTACGAACAGAGTATCAGTTCTTTTTTTATAATTTTATGATTCGTATTTACTTTCATCTTAATTTTTCTAGATGCTTTTTTGTATCGCATACTTTTATTTAAGAAATTCAAGCGGTGTATTAATAAGTTAAATTTGGTGTTCTGTAAAGCTCAGCAGTTCTGTAAAGAGGCTGAATTCAATCAAGCTTCACTGAGACGAAAAGAACGTGTATTCAAACCTCACCAAGAGTTTATGCTTCATTTCTGATCATATGCTGTCTACTCACGGCTGCTGTCTTAATAAACGTTACGATAAAAAGCAACTAAGAATTAAGTTGAAATTAAATACGATTCAAAAATCGATAATAGACACTTCAGGGTAGATGTGCGAAGCGCAAATCTCGACTCTTATTTTTAAAGAAAGTTTTCTTGGGGACTATATTAACTGCAATCTCTGTCTTCTTCAATACGCCCGACCTTCTCCAGTCAGTCATCGGGATTGAACCACGCGCCACTTCATTACAGCCCGGGTGAAGCGTTGACATATATTCATTTGCTTTATCTAGTTGTTGAAGATCTGAGCAAATAAGTGAACAAAAATATGCGACTGGCTCAAATACAATTCGTAAGGGATAGCATCGATTCTCGAAGAATTGTGTGTTTCAACCTTCTTCAAAGCTTACCGAATTCCAATCTCTGTTATAGGAACCTCACAAACAATAATAAACATTCACAAATACATATAGATAAATACATGAGTAAATGATATAGGCATTAGGTTTATTGTAGGTTATACTATACTACCGATTAAACAATGGAGATAAATTGATATAAGTTTAGGTAATTTTAAAAAGGATGAATTAAGTGGAACTTTCACATACATGTAGAGGTCTGTTAGTTGGTGTAACCTATAGAATTTATATTTACGCAAAATACCACAAAATATGAAACAATAAGAAGCAACACTAAACTACTTTTATAACAAAAAATATTCATATTTATGTCAATGATATACAAGCATAATTAATAGGGGTTACTTTCCTTTGACTGGAATTAAAGTCTTTATTAAGGAAATATTTTTATCTGAGCTCATAGAAAGTTAAATGAACGTGCCGCTCAAAATGTTCACCGTGAGAGATTTGAAAGAATTCTGGAAAGCTGAGAATGTGTTTGATGCAAACTTGTAACTTCAGAAGGTTTTTGAAGTAATATTTCTTGCTGGTGAATATTGACAAGAGTTATGTTTGTTGCTGAAGAAAATCTTACTAGTTGAGTTGAGCCAGTTTTTGGTATTTATTCACTTGCTGGGTGTTCGTAATGTTTGTATATGTACGTTGTTCGTAGAAATTGTTGAATGTAAGTGTGTTTGAGTGAATTTGTATATGTGAATATTCCGTGTCACTGCGTTTGTCCGTAAAGGATTAAACGCGAGTTCTTTAGTTACTATATCTTGTATGTCAGAGAAGGCAAAAGAAGAAGAACGAACTTGTGTCGAAGTATTTATAATAAACGTAATCACGTGATAGGCTCCAGAGAGCGTTTCTGATTTTTGGCGGAAAAATGGTTTTGAATAAGGCGTTGGCGTTGAACGGGCGTAGGCAAGAACATGATTTTAATATTAACTGATCAATAAGAAGTGAGAAAAATATCAAGGCTTTGTGATCCACTTTTGCACAAATTTGCACAAAAATTGACATTGAAAGAAAGTGGTAGCAGAATGCTAAAGGCACATACTTATGTCAAGGTGACGTGAATTCGAACGAGGTATGATAGGTGTGCCAAGCGTATGAGACATTCCATTTCTGAAATTGAAAAGACATTTGACCTTCCTCGATATACGGTGTCACACACAAGTATATTGTGGAAGCGTGTATAGAAGCCATCCTTTTGCACGCGCGCGTTTTGCACCCCTTCCTTCCACTTTCGATTAGACATAGCAGTAAGCCATCCTTTTTGTTGCTGACTTCAAGCTTAACGGCTGCTCCTGATATTTTTTGAACTGGAATTTGAAAATCTTCCCGCGCAATTTCTTTGACGTCACGGACAAACTGATTTTTCGAAGTTAGTCGTGGTTTGAACATCGACAAGTTGACTCATTTATTCCTCGTCAGTTAACCCATAATACAAAAAGGGATATCTTAACAGCAAATTATGCTTCGTCCCTTTTGGCTCGTCGTGCGTAAACTTTTCAAGTCGATGTAACTAACGGCAAATAATCCTTGTTCGAGCCTTGCCTTCGTCACATCACCTTTTTCGACGACTATTTCCTCAACCTAAGGCTAACATCTCATTCGAACTTTCTTTCGTCCATGACCAGGGAACTTTGAAACCTTCAACAGTTAAGAATGAGAACTTCTCATATCCGTTGAACTCTAAACATTATGAACCAGTACCTTAAAAATATAACATTACACTCACACTAACAAAACTCGCAGTGAGTATTTTCTTTGTTGTATGTATAATATTCCGTATAAATTGACTGTTCTGGAACTTTCTTTCTGATGAAACTTTTCCCGCCTTAGCCATTTTGGTTTTCTGTTTTGGCGCGGAACTCTGACATTCCTTCAATGACTCCTTGTCACAACCTTTTCATTAAATGCAAAGATCCAGTAACTTTACTGATGGTCTTCACTATCGGGACAATTTACTTGTTTAAAAATAATAAAAGTCTATATTTGTTCTTTTACCAGACTCATTTTGTCGTTTAATCCTGACTATCTACTTGTATTATTTTTATGCACTTGTTGAATGACCCCTTTTCCTCACTAAGATCACTCACTCAATATTTTTACTTTGTTTGTGGATTCAGTAGTCATAAGTAGTGTCTGGCACAAGGCCACTTTTTAATAAACCAGCACTGCATGCTACCGGGTCCGCAACAAGATTGGTGACCGCCCGACGTGATGATCCTGAGCAAGAAGATTGGTGACATCCCGACGTGAGTTTTGAGGAACACTTATTTCTTATATAAAAGACAGGCCATTTTTATTTCGGGTCAGATCTTAAATCTAAACGTGCATAAATTTGATAGCCAGAATGACGTCTGGTGACGCTGAAGAGTTGGGGAACATGGCCGCAGCCGTCGCTCCATTTCCCCCCTTTTACGAAGGGAACATTAAGAACTGGTTCCTGCAAATGGAGGCTATTTTTATTGTTAGAAAAATTACGGACCAAAAAACAAAGTTTGGCCACGTGGTGACGGCTTTGCCACCCGCCATTGTGGATGAAGTGTCTGATTTTCTAGAAGCCGTCCCAGAGGTGGAACCGTACGCCCGATTAAAGTAGGCTATCCTAAGAAGAATGGGCCGTACGGAGGAAGCGTTGATCCGCGAATTATTTAGCAACTTAACTCGTGATGGTAGAACCCCTTCACAACTTCTACGTTTTATGAAGAGTCGACTAGGTAAAAACATTATGGCTGACTCAGTTTTAAAAAGCCTGTGGTTGGACCGCTTCCCCACCACCATTACCCAAATTTTGGCGCCCATGTCAGAGAACACCCCACTCGACCAGTTAGCGGACGCCGCTGATCGTATTTTCTCCCAACTGGATCACCAAACGACACCAGTACACAGTGCTGAAGCAGCTAGTGTCCACAGGTCCTTGGAAAAAGCTGTGGAAGACTTACAGCGGCAAGTTAGAGACCTGACATTTGCTCTAAAAAGCCATGGTCGAAACCGGTTTCCTTCCCGCCGTCGTTTTAGGAGTCGACCACGTTCGTCTAGTCGAGACAAGGATGCCCCTTCTTCTACTATGCGTTATTATCACCGCAGATTTGGTTCTGCAGCACATTACTGCACTAAGCCGTGCAATTATACTGCGGTCGCGGAAAACAAGACCGCCAGCGAGTGAAAGCGACTAATCTTGCTGGCAAGGCACCTTCACCGAAGCTTAGTCGCCTTTTCTACGTGTCAGATACACGTAATAATTTACGTTTCTTGGTCGACACCGGCGCTGCCATCAGTGTGTTACTTGTTCGTGATAAAACACGTCAAAAACCTTTTCAGCTCCGCTTACAAGCAGCAAATGATTCCAGCATAAATACCTACGGTACTAAGTCCCTTACCTTAAATATAGGAATGCGTCGAGATGTTCAGATGCCAATATTAGGTGCCGATTTCCTAGCACACTATGATCTAGCCATTCGAATGAACAACCATTCCTTAACAGATAACTTGACAAGACTATGTGTTCTTGGAACCTACTCCAAAAATACCACCACTGTTATCACCGTGGCAACTTGCCATAGTAAGGAGTACTTAGACATATTGAATCAGTACCAGGACCTCCTGCGTCCTGCTGGATCTATTGATTCAACCAAACATCAAACGCAGCATTTTATTAAGACCACTGGTCAACCTACTTTTTCCCGTCCTCGTCGCTTAGCACCTCATAAATTAAAATTCGCTAAGAAAGCTTTCGACGACATGTTACGAGAGGGTGTTATTCGTCCGCCCGACAGCCCCTACGCTTCCCCTCTTCATTTGGTACCTAAACCAGGAAAGGAAGATTATAGAATTTGCGTGGATTACAGAAAGTTGAATTCCATTACCGTTCGGGTTCGCTATCCAATTCCCCATCTACACGACTTTGCTTCCGGCTTACAAGGCGCGAAAATTTTTACTAAAATAGATCTCGCAAAAGCATGTTATCAGGTGCCAGTAGCTGCTGCTGATATCCCAAAGACTGCTGTTACTACGCCCTTTGGTTTGTTTGAATTTTTGAAAATGCCAACGCGGCACAGACCTTTCAGCGTCTTATGGACGAAGTCCTGCGTGGACTCCCTTCGTTTTTTGATTACATCGACGATATTTTGATAGCTAGTGAGGACGCTGCCTCTCATAAGCGTCATTTAAACGAAGTCTTTCAACGTTTGTCTCACTACGGATTCCGTCTGAACCTTGACAAATGTGTATTTGGATCAGACCACATGGAGTTTTTAGGACATCATATTGATGCTAATGGAGTCGCTCCTGTGACCGATAAGATTAAAGCTATCGCTGAGTTTCCCGTCCCTGCTTCCATTAAGCAGTTGAGACGTTTTATAGGAATGATTAACTTCTACCGAAGATTTATACCCAATTGTTCGAACATTCTGACTCCTCTTACCAACCTTTTACAGAAAAAAAAATAAAGCTATAACACTGGAGAATGAAGCCTTGGATGCCTTTCGAGCAGCTAAAACCGCTCTAGGCAACTTTTCTAAGCTTAGTTTCTTAGAGGACGACCCTCAGTCAGACATTTACCTGACCACCGACGCCAGCGAATCCGCAATAGGCGCAATCATTGAACAAGTTCGTGCCTCTCAACGTAAACCCATAGCATTCTTTTCTGCTAAGCTCTCTCCTACCCAGTCACGCTATAGTACCTTTTCTCGTGAATTGTTAGATATTTTTCGTGCTGTTAAACATTTCAGACACCTCCTCGAAGGTAGGTCTTTCGTTATCTTTACAGACCACAAACCTTTAGCGTCCATTATGTCCACCAAGTTGGACAAATACACTTCGAGAGAGATCAGATATCTGGAATATATCTCCCAATTTACCACTGATATTAGGTACATTAAGGGTTCGGATAACACTGTCGCCGATACCCTGTCTCGTACTGAGATGTTCGTCGTGCATACTGATGCACTCGGTCAGGACTTGATCGCCGACGAACAGGAAGCGGACATAACTCTGAAGCATGTGTTATCCGACACTTCTTTGGAACTTCAGAAATGTCCATCTCCTTTTAGCAACAAGGTTCTATACTGTGATGTAAAATCCAACACCCCAAGACCTTATGTACCTCCCGTCTCTTCGTAGACAGGTTTTTGACCACTTACACGGACTCTCACACCCTAGCAAGAGAGCCACTGTTAAATTAATTTCGGACCGTTTTGTTTGGCCGAATATGAACGTCCAGATTCGCGAATGGGTCACTACATGTTTACAATGCCAGAAATGCAAAGTACATAGACACACGAAATCTCCTGTGGGCACCTTCAGCGAGCCTGATGCTCGTTTTACTAATATTCATCTGGACTTAGTTGGGCCTCTACCAATTTGCCAAGGGTATTCTTACCTTTTAACTATAGTCGATCGTTTTTATCGATGGCCTACTGCCATCCCTATTAAAGATACCACTGCTGTAACAGTCGCAAAAGCTATTCTACGTGATTGGATTTCAATGTTTGGGACTCCCAAAGTAGTTACTACCGACAGAGGAGCACAGTTCCAGTCATGTCTGTTTAAGGAATTCACTAAACTCCTTGGAGCTAAACACATACGTACCACTGCATACCACCCGTGTGCTAACGGATTGGTGGAACGATTCCATCGTACCCTTAAGGCTTCGCTATCAACGAAGCATGAAAATAATAATTGGGTTGATGAACTGCCCCTCATCCTTCTTTCACTGAGGAACATTCTCAGGGATGATTTAAAATGCTCACCAGCAGAACTCGTTTTTAGTACGTCACTGTCATTACCTGGACAGTATTTTTCACCAGCTGTAAATGCATTTCCAGTTTCTTCTTCTTTTGTCCAAGACTTGCGCCTTAAAATGGCCAACTTATGTTATACACCACCGCGGCACTGCCCGAGTGATATATATTTACCGCATCAGCTCCAGGACTGCGATTTTGTGTTCGTAATGACGCTGTTAAGCGGCCTATTACGCCGGCTTACATAGGCCCGTACCGCGCAGATAAATATTTCCAAATACAAAAAGGTATTCACACCGACAACATATCGATAGATCGGTTGAAGCCTGCATTTATAGAGAAACCGACGTCCCATACTACTCAATCAACTCCGCAAGTTCAGGAGAATTCGAAGACACCCACTTTCCTTGACAAGCCTATGTCTAAGTATACCAGCTCTGCTCGGAATGTTACCTTCCCGAAGAAGTTTGAGACCTTTTACTATCATTAGTTAAATGTCTGCCGACATTTAATCCGGGAAAGGGCTCTGTGGAAGCGTGCATAGAAGCCATCCGTTTGCGCGCGCGCGTTTTGCACCCCTTCCTTCCACTTTCGATTAGACATAGCAGTAAGCCATCCTTTTTGTTGCTGACTTCAAGTTTACCCGCTGCTCCTGATATTTTTTGAACTGGAATTTGAAAATCTTCCCGCGCAATTTCTTTGACGTCACGGACAAACTGGTTTTTCGAAGTTAGTCGTGGTTTGAACATTGAATCGACAAGTTGACTCATTTATTCCTCGTCAGTTAACCCATAATACAGAAAGGGATATCTTAACAGCAAATTATGCTTCGTCCCTTTTGGCTCGTCGTGCGTAAACTTTTCAAGTCGATGTAACTAACGGCAAATAATCCTTGTTCGAGCCTTGCCTTCGTCACATCACCTTTTTCGACGACTATTTCCTCAACCTAAGGCTAACATCTCATTCGAAGTGTCGTCAGTCAAATGGTGTCAAACGTGCAGTCAATAGACCCCGCTTCCCTTTTCACCATTTGACTTGGCGGGGTCTATTGACTATTGATTGACACTCGAGGGCACTGAGTGATTGGTCAACCGTTCAGATTGGGCGTTTCTCCCCTGTACACCGGTTTCTTGGTATTTATTGTCGTTCACTGTCTTTTATTCGTTTCGTTCGTTCGTTCTTTCACAACTGCACGTATCGTACGATGTACCCTGGCAGAACTCACTCTTTTCTCCAAGATGGTCTCGTTTGACGGAACGAAGCACTCGCCTTCTATCAAATAGTAGTCCTACATGCCATACCCAGACCAAATCCCTCACTTCGAGACGCCAGCACAAATCTCATTCACCGCTTCCGCTCCTCGACTCGGGTTCCGTTTCACCATGTCTGCTACATTAGGTTATGACTGTTGTTCATTGTTTAAGTGTCCAGTCTTGTGTGTGGTCTCGATACTCGTCAAGACCTGGTTGTTATGTGGCTCAGGGGACTGGTTGGTTCATGAGTCATTTCTTCAGTTTCATCCATTGAGGGTTGGATGCTTTTTCTGGGTTTTCTGTTTGTCATAGTTTCTTAGTTATTTCATGTTTGTGGGAGCGAGAGAGATAACAAGATGCAGGCAGATGATTAAGCAATATGACCGGCTACCCGTTCCTTTATTTATCTACTTTTACAAGAGGATGTTTAGTTCGTTTGGGTTATTTCCCTTGGCTCTTCGCTGCCTATCATGTTATGACCCCCCCCACCACTTTGTGACAATTGTTTGTTTTCTGTTTGTATTTTTTATATCTTTTTATGTGTGAGTGTGTATATATTTAGCTATATTATGAAGGTGTGGTGTATTCTAGTCCTTGTATTTCTCTGGTATTTTAGTGACTCTTCCTTGTTGTGTAGCTCTACAGCTGGTATTGTTTCTGTGGTGTTAGTGTTGGTAATATTTCTCTTAGTGTGGTTGGGTATTCTGTGGGATTTTCTTGTGGTATGTTTGATTCTTTGTTTGCAGTTGGCATCGTTATAGCCTCCCTTTCTTGGGTAATGTTTGTGTATAGTGGTGGAGATGGTGCTTCCTGTCTTAGTATGCTGGTTATATTTGTAGTGGGTCTTGGTTTGAGGTGTTCCCTTGTTCCTTGGTATATCTTACCTCTGAGGTTGATTAGGTATGTTCTTGGTTAGTTTAGGTCTATTGAGGACGGTACTAGGTATTCAGATATTGTGTAATGTGCCCCTTGCATAGATCGGCTCTATGATGTTCAGTATTTTCTTGGCTGGAATGTGCCTGTCATAATTCTGTTTCTGCTTGGTTTGGTTTTGTTCGTTTTTTTTGGAGGTGTGTCTCCTTTTCAGGGTGGCGTGATTGTATGGCTCCCTTTGCTGTAAGTAACATTGTTTTGGGTGTTCTACCAAATAGTAATTCATATGGAGATGGCATGTACGGGCATGTAGTGTATGGTCACTTTTTCCTCATGGGCCTTCCTCCAGAGGGCTTTGATTGTTCCTACAGTTCTTTCTGCTACTCCGTTAATTTGATGGTGGTACGGTGAGCTGGTTTTTAGGGTTATGTTTGAGTTGTGGCATTCCCTCTTAAACCTTGCGCTCATGAACTGTGACCCGCAGTCGGCTATGGTAGTTGTGGGTAACCCATATTCTGTTAGAATTTGGGTGAACTGCTCGCAGACAGTATCAGCTGATGTGTCTGGAAGTGCTTTGACGATTGGGAATCTCGAGTAATCGTCTACCACCAGGAGGTATTTATATCCATCTTGTTCGTAGATGTCCGTGCCTATTGTCACCCAAGGGAGAGTAGGGAGGTCTGGTTGCATCAGTGGTAGTTTGGGCTGTGCTGGTTGGTATTTGCTGTATATGGTATATGCTTTTACCATGTTCCTGATGTTCTGGTTTATCTCTGGACAGAATATAGACTCCCTAGCTAGTAGGATGCATTTTGATTCTCCCTGGTAGCCTGTATGTAGTGTCTCAGCATTTCTAGGATTACAATTCTGTCCTCCTTGAGGACTAATCCGTCTTCTAGGATGAGGTTACACCTGAAGGTCCAGTACTTCCAAAGAGTTGTGGGGTATTGTTTTCTGTATTCTGGCCATCCTTTGTATATTATCCTTCAATAGGTTCATTGCTGGGTCAGCCATGATTGCTTCTCTTACCCAATCTGTGTTTATTAGTTTCGTTTTTGTTGTTATGAAGTTGATGCTATGCTGTTGTGGTGCACCACTTCTATTTTCTTGAATGGGATTGTCTTCCCTGGCCTATACTGGAGTTGTATGTCAAATCTTAGACACTTTAGGATGAAGCGTTGAAGACTTGATGGGGTCTCTGCAAGATTTTTCTTAAAGATTTGTTCAAGTGGTGAGTGGTCTGTTTCCACTATTACCTTCCGCCCTAAGAGGAGGTATTCAAATTTTTGTAGGCCATATGTGACTGCTAGGCACTCTCTTTTTGTGTTGGAGTATCTTGACTCTGTTGCGGGGAGGTACCTTGACGCCATTCCTACTATTTTTTCAGAAGACTTGTTGGTCTGTTTTATCCATGCCCCTACACCCAATGTGCTGGCATCACACTGAAGGATTGTTGTACTGTGGTCTGTGTCATAGTAGCTGATTATACAGTTTTTATTGCCTCTTGGGCATCTTGATGGTGTTGTTGCCATGGGAAGTGCACATTCTTTTTAATCAGTTCTCTGAGTGGTGCGGTCATTTGTGACAGTTTTACTGAGAACCTATTGAGGTATGCAATCATACCCAGGAGTGTGTGGAGTTCCTTTGCATTATTTGGGGATTGTATGTCCTTGATGGCTTGAAGTTTGTCTTCTGTAGGTGATATGCCTTGTTCTGTGATTGTGTAGCCAAAGAAGTTTACTCCTTTTTGTTTATACTGGATTTTTTCCGCATTGAACCCAATGTTATTTCCTTTGGCTCTTTCTAAGACTTTGGTCATGGCTATATCATGTTCCTCTTCTGCCGATACTGTTACCAGGATATTATCCACCATTCCCGTGACGATTTTGATTCCAGAGAAGACTGTATCCAGCTAACATTGGAATATGTCCTGGGGTATTGTTAAGCCAAATGGTAGACGTTTGAATTTGTATCTTCCAAATGGTGTGTTAAAGCTGCACAAGTAGGCTTGATTGATGGTCTAGTTCTTGGTACCAGTATCCCTTTTTACATCGACGACGCTGAAGTATTTCTTCCCGTGTAGTAGGGGTAGTAGCTCATCTAGTGCTTTGGTAGGGTAGTGTTCTCTCTTTATGTTTTTGTTCAGGTCTCTGGGATCTAAACATAGCCTGATTTTGGGTGTTCAATCTTGGTTACTCGATACGTGATGGAGTTTACCCAATCTGTTGGGCCTATGACTTTCCCAGTGATGTCCTCCTTTTCCATTTTTTTCAATTTTTTCTGCTTTGTAGATTGGGGGGGTGTATTGGGACTGATCTAGGTGGGTGTATCACCGGCTTGGGATTTCCTGTCAATTTTATGTGATATTTCTTCCATGGGAAACACCATATCTTGTTGAAACAGATCTTGTATTTTTCCAATAGTTCCTTTTTTGTTTATCGTTTCAGGTCCTGCTGTGTTCTGTCTTTTTATTTCATTTAGGTTGACTGAAATAATTCCTAGTTCTTGTGTCTGCCTGCATCCAAGAATAGAGGGATTGCCTGGAGGCATATTCACAACGTCAAATCCTCTTGTTATTCTTTTGTTCTTGTATGTTATTTTGAGGTCAGTCGCCCCAGTGTTTGTTATCCTTGATCCTCCATAACCTTTGTTATTGTGTTGGTCTTTTTTATCTTTGGTTTGAAGGGTAGCAGCCAGATTTGATTTTCTGTTAGGATGCATGTGTATGCCTCTGTATCCACTTTGATTTTTATTTTGTGGAAATCATTTATGGTGATGTTCGCAAGTATTTTGTTTGCATATCTAGAGACTGAGTATATGTTCTTGCTGCTTGAGCTTATTGTCCCGATGTTGCTTGATACTTGTTCTGTGCCATCTCCCTCTGCGAAATCCTCGTATATCTGGTATTCTTCCTCGCCCTGGACTTCATGAAGTTGTAGCTGTTTTTGTTTTTTAATGGATACTCGCATGTAGTATCCCACTTTTCCACAGTAACTGCACTGTGCTGATCTAGCAGGGCATTGATTTCTGTATTGGTGGTTGCCTCCGCATCCATAACATTCCTTTCCTTTTCTTTCAGGGAGGTTTGGCTGTTTGCTACTCCTGTTGTTCTTGTCTTGGTTAGGGTTGTGCTTTGGGATTCTGGTGGTTGCTAATTGTCCGGGTCTGCGTTTGACTTCGTTTATGATGGTTTCGTCCCTGGGGTTTACGGATATAACCTCCATCTGTATTCTGGTGGTCTCATCTATTTTTGACAGATTGTATATCTGTTCGTAAGTGAGGGTATCCCCTACATTGATTGCGTCTCTGCGGACCTGGTCAGACTCTATGCCAAACACCAATGTATATATATATATCTCATCATTTCCTCCTTCATCTGCTCTGGGTAACCAGCTTCCTCGACCAGTTGTTTTGCCTTTGTGACAAATTCTTCTATGGTCATTTTTCCTTGTTTGAGGACTCTTAGGTCGACTTTATTTTCTTCAGACGGCCGTAATATCTTTTTGTTAGGACTTCATAATTTCGTTCTGGCGCGCCCTTTCGATTGCGCCTTCCAAAGTGAGATCTGGTATCATTATAAGTGTCTCGTATAATTTGACGTCTCTACATCTCACTACTATCCTGTCGCATATAAACTCATCTTCAAGCCTCTTAAAATCGCATGTTTTCGCTGACACATGTAGGTCTGTCACAAAGACGTCTATAGACTCACCTTCTTGTTGGCAGCGCTTGTTGAACATTGCTCGTTCATAAATTACGTTTGTACTGGCCGTAAAATGGTGGTCAAATCTCTGTTTGACTATATCGAAGTTTTCCGTATCCTCCAGCAATAGTTTAAAGGTAGCTAGCTTTATCACCCATGGTGTATATAAGTGTGTCCACTTGGACTCTTCCGGGCTTTTTTTCGAGGCCCGATACGGTTTTGTAGCGAGTGAATCTTATCCATTTTGGCCAATGTCCAGGCTGGTCAAATAGGAACGGCTCTGGCGTCGACACATTGCTGTTCATTTTGTTTATTTTCCGGATCTGACTCGGATATTTTATTCGTCTGACATCTAAGTGTCTCTAGTGTTCCGTTAATCTACTTTTAGTTTCATGTTAATTCCACTTCTGACACCATGTTGTGTTCGTAAATAAAGAACGAATCAAAACACGTGTGTTTAGATTAATATCAAAATGGCGAGTGCCTTCTTTATTCAGATCCTGTTGGAAGGGGAATCACTCCGTCCAGATTAGATAGATAGATAGATAGATAGATAGATAGATACCATTGTTGCGGGATTTACATGGAGTGAAATGTATCAGAAGGTAAATTAATGTAGACAAAGATTATGCGTGCTTATAATGTCTGTATCCCACAACATACAGATTACGCAAACAATTTAAGGACAATTTGCATGGCAAGAAATTACTAAACACAGTTGTTAGAGATTTAACAATAAAGAAATTTTTATATCACAATAAAATATACATATAATGACAATAAAAATGTTTATTGTTGTAATAACTAAGATAATGTTATAAAGAATGTTTATGCAGAAATGTTGATGCTTTTTGATTGTTAGAAAAGTTAAAATAACTTGGTTTCTGCAAAGAAAGATGTCAAATGTGTTCGTTCATTTATCAGTGTGTGTACGTGCGTAATTATAGAAGTGAGAATAAATATTGTCAAGAGTGGCTTGCCTTTAACTGATAGTTAACTGATTAACTGACAATTGGTGAAGTGTAAAATTACTTTTAGTAGTGAAAACGTTCACTTTTTAAGTCAATTGTAGATGTTGAACAACACGCGGACAATGGTTGATGAATGCTTTGCTGAGTTTGTTGAGATTTCTATGTGGTGTGTGAATCAGTGAATTGCACGTGTGGAGTTTGGTAACATCTCATGAAACTCGATGACTGACTGACTGATTGAGTCATGTGGTTATTTTTATAGACTTTTGTGTAGCAAAATCGGCCCCAGAGAGCTCGGCGGGAAATAGGGTTCGCCTGGAACTTTGCTACAATTTTGTGTTTATTACCCAATAGAAGGTTGAATTTGCAGAAACGAGATGATGATTGGTTAAAGGCTTTTTAGAGAAGAATACATCTTTCTGAAAGAGGTTAAAAAATGGAAGATTACGCACCATAATAACCTCAAGTCTTTACTATCTGAAATAGTCTTACGAAGAAATAATTTCTATAGAGGAGTCGCCAGATAAATATGAAAACTTTCACAGAAGCCTTATAAAATGCATGTCAGCAAAAATATTTAACATCAGTTTACAAGTGCTTGTGCACTGATCTTCCGATGAAACGCTAATTTTTGACATTCATTGGAGGGATACTGCTATTTATCGAGATACCCTACACAAAATATCTCGAAATACCCAGAACGGGTCCCAGTTATGTGCTATTGATCATATATACACATACGAAAGGCTTTGACCACTTCGATCTCAACCAAAGCCAGAACAATTCTTTTTTTTTTTTTTTTGTTAAAGAAAGTCTACAAAATAAATGTATTTAGTTTCTCATCGCTAGAAAGACCGCTATTAGAAGAGCCAGAGCATGACAGTGAAAAATAGAGATGTAGTAGTCAGTTTAGATGAGGAACTAGATTATTACTAAAACAGTAAGAATAGTGAATGGAAAAATTTGGCATGACGTAGGTACCTCCACTATTTCGGCATAAAATTTCGATACCTAAAATTTAAAATGAATTTTTTAAAATGAAGAAAACATTCTTGAAGATTTCATTTTAGATTTAATTGAAAGCTAAATGATTAAATTCATTATTTTCCAGTAAGTAAAAATGTATTTCAAATAAAAATTATATAGATTGCAATGTCAAATTTAATTTCGATTTCTTAAAATTCTCTTAAAAGCGGCCATTTTTTTTTTAATTTTAAGAAATATGTAAACAAAACAAATTTATCGAGTTTAAAATTCTTCCCCCACCCATCAAAAATATATATATTTCTGACATGTTGAGTAAAATTAGAAAATTTAAAGTTAAATTGATCTGATTTGAAATAAATATTACTTACTTATAGCATAAAAACTATTTATTTAATGATTGGTCCTGCTTCCTAGCTTATCTGAGGCAATAATGGATGGCCGATTGAGTGACAAAGCAATGACAGCTAGTATGGCTGGCGAGAATTGATATAATTTTTACGAAATCTAAGTTAACGCATTTTTGGGGGGGGGCGGTTAACTATCTAGTAATTTTTACAAATAAACATATTTTCCGCAATTATCTAATAATTTATTAACTTTTATTTACCTTTCGAAGATGCTTTATGCAAAAATAAAATACTATAAAATTTTCTTAAATTAATTTCTCTGTAAAAAGACAAAACTCTTAGATCACGTGACTGTTTCATAATAATGTCACGTCTAGACTTTCATTGATGAAAATAGGGAACAAATTAAGTAAAAAAATTAACAAACAATTATTTTAAAAATCGAATAGTGTAACTATGTTTATTAATCTACAATTTTGGATTCGTAAATTTCGTTTCCACCTAATTACTATATCACATCCATGAAATAGCCTAATACAGAATTTTACACGACTTTAAACTATTATAAAATATTATAATTACAATTTTTAAAAAATGAAAAATTCTTGTAAAAATTCATTATTTATCGGAAACATTTTATTTCTTGGGGCATTCATTTTATTGCATTCATTATTTTTCAATTCAGAGCATATTTTCAGTTAGAATAGTGCAAGTTTGAAAAAAAGATTAGGCGATTTAGATTCTCCAAGGAGTCCTACTTTTAACGAATAAAAAAAATTCAGGAAATAGAAATGTTATTTTGCGAAATTTCATGAAAATCCAGAAAATTTCATTAAAATCGGACAATTATTTGATTTTTACGAGAATTTCCAAATCAATGTGTTTTCAACGGAAAAACAGCGAAACAAGAGTTGCACAAAATTTTCCTTATGTTCGCCTCTTTGGGCAGAATAACAATTTCGTGAGGTAACAAAAAAGAAGAGATTACCCACAGAAACAAGAACAAGAATATTTCACAATTAGTTTGATAAGAAATCGATTCATATACAAAAATTAATCCCTTGAAAATAGAAAAAATCTTGGAGAAAGGATTAACAAAATCACACAATTTTTTCAAGTAGCACCCACCTCTCTTCTTAACAGTATGCAGAAACAGGACGTCTCAGCTCGAAGAGGTTTTGTGTTATAAAGTTCACTTGTATGTTCTTGGTGTGACATTTTCAGATGTAGGAATCTGCCTTGTATTTGTCAGGTCTGATTTATGACCTACGGCTGGATCGTCCTTTGAAGTGTGAGTGTAATTCTCTCCGTTCTCATCAACGACACGTTCTTCTCAGTTCTTACCCTCACTGATCTGCCTAGATCGTTGATAGCAGTCCTTTTTATTGAAAAAGTGACCGTGATATCGGCTCCATCCAAAATTTAACATTGGTCAACAAACTTGTTTCTCATTGGCCAATATATATATAAATAAAAAAAACCCTTTCCAAACATTAAAAAAAAAACCCCGAAACACTTCAAACAATTTTGGCGGTTTACCGCTTGAGCCTAAAAAGCCATAAAAATGCACAAAATTTAACACACAAAACGTCTAAACTTTCTGAAGAATAAACTTTTCTCAAAATGTGTATAAAAAAACAACAACCTAGACGATTATACATAGATTTTTAACATTGTTTTACAAATAATAAAATAAAATTTTTATAACCAGACTGAAATTGAAACTGTCAAAATGCCAGTATATGAAAGAAGAAACAAAATATTTAGGCTTCGTTATCAATAAGAAGAGAGTAAAACCAGATACCGATAAGTAAGAAGTAATGTGAATTATGCCTACTTCTCGAACAATTAAACAAGTTAAATAATTTTTATGGGCCATTTGAATTGACGTTCCAGCGTTTTTATGAAGAGCCCTCCTCTTTCTCAACAACACTGACGAAATAATTAGACCGTTTTAAGCGATCATTTGATGTTCTACTGGAAGGCCGTTCCCTTGTTGACCCACCTAGATTTTAATAGACCCATGGTTTTGTACACCGATACAAGTAATCAGCGTCTAAGAGTCAGCCTCACCC